TAATATAAAAATATAAACTAGAATCTATACTATTATAATAAAGCGTAAACACACACTTCTTTGTTGCCTAAGATGTCAGCAATTACACCATATTTTTGAATAACTCTTATTATAATAAAAAGCTCTACATTTACGTCAGGCTTTAGGCTATATATGTTCACGACATTAAACTTAGGGGTAAATTTTGGGTAAAAACCCTAATGTGGGAAAGAGATAAGTTGCTGCCTTCAAGAAACAAAGATTGCCAAGGTCATGTCACATCATTTTGACATTTGCTATTGATAATTTGACAAATGTAAACATGTTTATGCGAATAAAGTCGTATGAGAACAGCTAGTTGTAACTTACCAGCAACCCAAGTGCTGCAGGAACGAGAGGCAGCGTTCATAGTGAGGGCCTCCAGAGCCGCGCACAAACCCACCTCTGACGTTGCACTAGAAAGTTATTCAGAAAGAAAAGAAATCTAGAGATTTACAAGAGTACAACAAATAACAGTGGTAGTGCCCGCTTTAACATGTTAGCACTGCAGGGCTCGCCCACACGACCACAGACAGGCGTGAAGTGGAAGCAATTCCGTGTACAGTCTGATGAGTGTGCTGGAGGCCTAATTTAAATCCCTTTCCCCTTACCATCCCTTTCTTGTAAGGAGAGGATGGGAGAAGAAAGTAGATTTGACGGTGGAGATGCATAGGAAAGGGAAGTATCCTCTTTATATGCGTCTCCTCCGTCGGATAGGGGTAGGCAATGCTGCAATAGCGGATGTCTATGGGCATTCGCTTCGCCATTTTGGCGGATTCTAGTGGCCGCTTGCTCGTTTGCCATCTTATGTTATAAAAAAAAATCATATATCTTAACTTGATTTATAAAAACATACGTAATAAATAGAAATGTAACATTATAGTTTGTCTAAAGATAGATTAGTTTGATAAATGACGCATATGAAGTATCGAATTCAATTTGTATGAAGGCAAATGCCGTACTTAATAGACAGGTATCGTAGTGACGAAACACGCAGCGAACAATTATGAACTATCGATGTTCGGTTTAAATAATTATCGAACTCAACTAAAATTATTATTTTCTTACTAACTAATTTAGAGGACAATTCTAGTATTGATTATAATGTAGGGAATTTCGCGATGACAGAAATAATAGCGAAATCCAATTCGATTACGTACGGCTGTAGTAGTAATAAACATTTATTTACTCTCATTTTTCTTGGTTCTATAGTCATTATACATTTCAAAAAACGGTGTTTTTTTTTTTAAATTTTAACGCATAACTTATAACTAGATTCACAAGAATAGATTCACACCTGATTTTACACAACCCATCCCTACTTTTTTTTTTTATAACATAAGGTGGCAAACGAGCGAGCGGCCACCTGAAATCGCCAAAATGGCGAAGCGACCGATGCCCATGGACATCCGCAATTGCGGATGCGTTACCTACCCTTATACGACGGAGGAGGAGACGCACATAAAGAGGATATTTCCCCTTCCTATACATCTCCTCCACCGTCAAATCCACTTCCTCTTCCCAACCTCTTCTTATAAGAAGGGGTGGTAAAGAGAAAGGGACTTAAATTAGGCTAAATTGTCAAACTAATCTATCTTATTTAGACAAACTATAGAGGAAGTATGAGAGTAGCAGTGGAAGAGAAGGTGAAGAGTAAAAGGTTAGCATGGGCATGTTATGATGAACCGCATGTTATAAGGAGAACGTCAGTTATGAGTGCACCGGTAGTAGACATAGAAAGAGATGGATTGTGAAAGGTGACATCAAGAAAAGAGTGACTGAAATGACGGATAATAGAGTTATTTGGAAGAGGAACACTCGGTGCCAACTGGAGTAGGGTAAGGTAGGGGGAGATGATGATATGGGGGTACACCAGTAGTAGACATAGAAAGAGATGGATTGTGAAAGGTGACATCAAGAAGAGAGTGACTGAGATGACAGATAATAGAGTTATTTGGAAGAGGAACACTCAGTGCCAACTGGAGTAGGGTAAGGTAGGGGGAGATGATGATATGGGGGTACACCAGTAGTAGACATAGAAAGAGATGGATTGTGAAAGGTGACATCAAGAAGGGAGTGACTGAGATGATAGAGTTATGTGGAGTAGAAAAACCTGGTTAGGAGAAGGATAAGGAGGAAGAAGAAGGGGTGAGTTTAATATAATCACCTCCTGGGTGGCGGTGCAGCATGCTGCTGGCAGACATCAGCTGCGCTGAAAGACCTGCGGAGGCCGAGCTGCGCGCAGAGAGCTGCACATCCAGCTAACACCTCGCGGCAAGCATCCCCACTCTCACCGGAAGACAACGGTAGTGCCGTTGACCTAACAATAATAGAGATATCGATGGATGAAAGGTTATTTGATTTAAGCGCCATTAAGTTAAATATTCAAGAGACCAATTAAGTTTTCCTTCATTTTGATTGTTTGAAGCGCTACCAGTAGAAACCTAGTATGAAACTCAGAAAAAATCGCTGATTCTGATTATATATGTCGGCTTGAGCTAGCAGGATCAGAATTACTACAACTTGAGATCACATGTGGGTGGCCATGGGTAAACGGATTCCAGGGACACATTCACAATATTCCTCGGTCAGGATATCATCTACCAAGCTCATATTGTTCAATGTTCTCGCAACGATCCCTATTTTCAGACCTATTGTGTCGGTGGCTCAAGGTTTTAACCACTTGACTACAGGTCCTGGGTTCGAATCTAGCTGTACCTGTGATTCCGTACATAATTTACCCGAACGTAGGAAAACATGATGCATATCGGTGAAGAAATTCAAAGATATGTGTGAAGTCCCGCTATATGTTTGACTGTAACCTAGTTACTAACCAGTAGCCTCCGACATATGGATGTATATTTTTATATACTTTCTTTAATAAAAAGCCCTTTAAATTACATTAGGTTATATATTTACGCTATCAAACTTAGGAGGTAAATTGTAACGGCAAAACCTACACTGCTGCCAATAGCAAAAAAGCAAGGTTGTCATAGTTACTCAAACAATTCTGAACCAATATCAAAGGGCTTGTTTGTCGCAGTGTTTACGCTTTATTTTTTTTTTATTTAAAAGATTTATTTATAAAGTTACAAAATTACTTTTAATACAATTGTGGTTGATCGCCTGGATCCTACACTAGGCTCTAGGCCCGTCTTGTAGGAGCCAGGGTTCTTCCGTCTTAGTGCTAGTTTTTTTTTTTTATTATATTAGTATAGATTGAATAACTAAAAAAAAAAAACAATTAAATCGTTCTGAAATATTAAACAATTATTTAATATATTTGTTAGTATTTTAACGTATGGCTCAGTTGTTTGCACTTGCCTTGCCTACAGTTCTTGGGTTCGAATCCCAAATGCCAATGTATTTTTCGAGTATTGAATACCATATGTACATTTACCCGATCTGAAGGAAAACATCATGATGGATTTCAGTGGAGAAAAAAAGAAATGTGTGAAAACTCGCAGTGTATTTGACTGACAGTCACTAACTTAGGGTCCCACTTGGTACGGAAGAGCTGGTGATGACCATTACTCACCTCGCTTTACCATCAGGATTAGGACTGGCCACTCTGATAGATGGATCCGGACCTTGTCCAGCCTGGAAATATATTATTAAGGATTTTTCATTACTAAACTAGCTGTTACCCGCGACTTCGTCCACGCAATATTAAATCTTAGTTGCTTTCTTACAGTGAAAGAATTGTTGAAATCAATATAGTTGAGTTTTTTTTATATTATGGGGTGGAAAAGGGTAAAGCCCCACAGCCACCTGATACCAGCGAAATGCCGAAGCGACCACTGCCCATAAATATCCGCAATTGCAGTTGCGTTGCCTACCCTTACAACAGAAGAGACGCACATAAAGAGGATGTTTCATCTTCCGGTGCATCTTCTCCACTATCAAGTTCACTTTTTTTAAGGTAAAGATGGAAAGAGACTTATATTATTCCTTAGAATTATTTCAGACATACAAAAATAGGTAAAAAAAACAATTCTTTCCTCTTTATATTAGTATAGTTCTATCTTAAATGGATTACATTAGTACTCACTTTGCAGGCCAGCATACGGAGTACCCTAGCATCTGAGGCTGCGGAAGACACACTGAATAATGACAAATCAGTTGTCACCGACTCGTGTGACGGAGAGCGAGCGACGCCCGCGCCGCGCCACGTCTCCGTACACATCTCTATCACTGAAATATAATAAATCTTAAAGTTAAAATCCTAAAGTTTAGATGGACGGATGTTTGTTAGAGTTTGTAGCCTAAACAGCCGAACGGATCTCGATTAAATTTGGCATAAATGTAGAGGATAGTCTGGAAGAACACATAGGCAACTTACTTTTATGTTTTTCTAGCTTTCACACGCGACTCCGTCCGCGAGGAATTTCAAAAAAAACAAAACTGAGTGGCCAATGTGTTCTTCCAGACCACCCTCTACATCTATACCAAATTTCATCGAAATCCATTCAGTCGTTTAGGCTACAAACTCTAACAAACATCCATCTAAACTTTCGCATTTAAGTAATTAACTATGAAGTATGATTCCATGCAGATGGCGTCGAGAGCAAAAGCTAGTTGATTTTACAGTATAAGGTGACACATCAGCAAGACATTAATAAAATAGTTTTAATACCTACAGACTTGTAAAGTTAACAATCTTTATGGACAGAGCAGGGTATAAGAGAAATATTTCGTTTCAATACCATCACATACTATATTGCATTCTTATCTTATAAGAAAAGAGTAATTTACATGTGTGATACACAAATTTGTTAACAAAAACTATGTCTATGCGACTAGATATCTCCTTATTGGAATATAGAAGCAATCTTATAGGAATAAATCAGATATTGATTTTATTCGTACACTCCAAGGCTACATCGACACTGTTTCAATTAAACAAAAGTATAGCAATAGTTTTTACTTCTGCTCTTTAGTAAAATATTTACAATAATATAACAGTTGTAATAATAGTAATAATTTTATATTTACATTGTTATTTCAAAAAGAATGTAATATGCCGGAAGAATTCGCAATATCAACAAACAAAAACATACCGCTTGTTTTGGAATCCACGACGGAAACTGCTCGACGAAGCCCTTAATTAATAATGAAAATATTTGAGGAAGTATAAATTATAGCTAATTGTTATTTGATAATGGCGTTATTTAGAGAAACTGTATTTAAAACATTATCCAATAACATCTATTTTCTCGCCGACATGGATATCTGCCAAAATGAAAACAGCATTTGCGTTCTAAACTTAATTTTTTTTTACGAATTTGCGCAGACAAATCTATTTTTTGAGGAGCAATAAATTGATATTGTACGTAAAACAGAGAAGAGAGAATAAATTGTTTTTTTAAATATAAATTTATACACAAAGTCGTAAATTTAACATTTTTTAGGTAATAGAACTTAAGAAAAACGAAAGGATTTTATCTTGAATCAGTTTCTGAACAGACTTAACCGAGTTTCTAGTTTGACAAAGCCAAAAATAGACTTTCCATAGATAAAGAGGGCTTCAGAAAAGTTTTTTTTTTTTTAAATGCTGATAATATTACCATGAAGTTATGAATTTTCATTTTATAATAAGAAAAGCTATTATTTTTAAACTTATAAAAATACCGAATTTAAACCGTTTTGTAATTTTTTGTAAATGTTATTTCATTACAGCGCCATCTATTTAAATTTCTCTAAGTGTCAAATTAAATTCTTATAAATGTAGATGTCGCTTTTGCTAAAATTATCACTTCAGTATAATCTAAATTTGTAGAATTATCTTTAGTACATGCCCAATATCGAAAATAATTCGTCCTTAAAGTTATTGAATAGTTTCTTAAAATAGTTTACGTTATTGAAATGTACCTAACATAACTTATTCCTAACTTAAATAGATTGCACATAATCAATAAGTTACGGCGATATCGCGGTGAATATTTTATCATTCTTTGTCTGTGTATATTGTTCTTGTGTCACAGTAAACGCGAACAACCGGATTTAATTCAAATCGTCTAGACAAAAATCAAAATGTCTCGTAAAACGTAAAGGTTCCTAGCCTCCAATCTAAATAATTTAAATTTCTTTATTACATAAATTCTTGAACAACTTGGCAGAGAAATGGGTTATTATTAAATTGACCAAATTTGCACAGTGACAGTTACTAACAATACGTACAGGAAAATAATGCTTATGTGTGTAGTTTCCGACTAATTGTAGACAAATCGTTATGTTTGTCTGTTCACATTGTACTCACGTACTTACCACATCAATCTTTTTGTTATAGGTTAAGACAATTTTTTTAAATATTATAACCTAATTCGGTAGTACTTTAAACATTTTGTAACAATGCTTTTATTAGGAGCCCGGTAAATGATCGCATTATATTTACGACTACCTGTTGCTCGCGACTTCGCCCGCGTGATTAAAATATATAGCCTATGTTAGTCACAGATAAATTACCTTTCTAACGGTGAAAGAATTTTTAAAATCGGTCCAGTAGTTTTTGAGTTATTTCAATGCATACAAAAATCCAAAAATACATACATACCTCTTTATTATAGTAGTATAGATTTTATTTAAAACAATTATAAGTAATACAAATTAAATAAAATTGATTATTCCAAAATTGTTCTACACGAATAGAAATTAAAAATATGTGACCAAAGCGATACGCATAGAGATACATTTGTCCTTGAACGACTACAAAAAAAAAACGTTATCGTTGAATGTCAATAACTCAGGTCGATGTTACTTTTGTATTTGTTTCTTGCTTGTTATAACTAAATATAATTAAACAAGAAAATGGTCGATTAACTACGTAAAATTATTTTTGAATTGTATTATTTCTTTACATGGATGTAGACTTATTGTTTTAAATTTAATTTTAAAGTAAAATTATTGCTAAGATCTTTTGTGTTTGCTTTACAAATATCAGTGTTTTATTTATTATCTGTTAACCCAAATTAATTAAATTAATAATGATACTACAGTGTATTCGACTTTAATTTTAAAATTCTATTGTAAATAAAAATGGCCGCCATCTTGTAGTGATTTTTAGTCATCATAAAGCTGTATTTAAATTATTTTTTTCTTAACTTAAACTGTCCGGAAACAATGATGCAACATTTTACGGCGCTCTGTGACGAAATCAAAATGGCGGATGTCGCTTTCACAACTCGATATTTTGATCTTGAAATCTCGATTCGATCATGCGGTCATTTTGACCGTAAACTTACGCAGTTTAATTATATTAATTAATTAAAACTGTTAACGGATATATTTATCAGTTTATGTTTGTTATGTCAGATTGTTATTTTGTTTAATTATTGTTTCCAATTTACTTTTTTGTTTTTAATTAACTTTGTAACAAAAAACTACGATAATGCTGGTACAATTTAATCTATATCTATACTAATGTAATAAGGCGAAAACACACTTTACTTTGTTATGTAGGATGTCGGCAATCCCGGCATATTTTTGAATAATTCTTTCTTTAGTAAAAAGCCCAAGACTTTAGACACATTTTAGGCTATATTTCCACGCTATTAAACTAAGGAGGTAAATATTGGAAAAAACCTATAGGAAAGGGACCATAAACTACAAGCTGCCAACATTAAGGAAGCAAGGTAACGGTAACGGTAATTTTGACATTTGCAATTACGACAACAAAACTAAACAATAAAATAGAGTTTTCATATTTTAGGTTAAAGCCATACGGAAACAGCTAGTTTTTTTTAGTTAAGAATAAAAAGGATATTGATAAAAATGAATAAAGAGTTTTTTTTAATACATATTTTTAGTCTGTATTTTTTAAGATGTATTGAATAAATAGTACTGGCCATTTACACTCCTAGAAGTACGATTTTAAAATTAAAAACTCGATTGTGAATGTTTGCGTTAGATTGTATTAGTGTGCGCTTATATAACGTATGAGGTTTGTATAAAGGTGTTTGTGTGCGTTATCTCTTTGTAGAGGTACGGAAGATTGGATATGACTAGTTTAATCCGTTTTATTATTATTATTAAAAAAATATTTCAATAAATCGATTAGTATTTTTGTTACACGATTATTTTATTTTTTTGCTTTCATATAGGCATATTATGTTATAGAATTTATTTACATACTTATTTACATTTTTATCTCTAAAATCGTAGTAAAAGAGTATAATTGTCAATTTCTTAAAAAACTTGTAACTTCAAAAATATCATTTCTAAGACCAACAATACGAAACAACAAACCAATTTGATGAAATCTTAATTTTTTTTTAAATCAAATAAATGTTATTTAATTGTCGACTATCGTCTAACAATTGATTGTAAAACTATTGTTTTCAATTTGAAAAAAAATATAAATATAAAATAAAATTCAAATAAGTCTTATCCATATTATGTATTGTGTAAGTTCTGGTATTGTACTCGATCGTTCGTCGCTGCGGAATGCAAACTAGCGCAGGGCTGACACAAGTATTTATTATTTATTAATATATTTTTCGGATTTAAATTATTATAACTTTAAGAGACATTAAAAACTACTTGTTGCCGATATCGAACTATCTACGGGAGTATGTATTTTTTTATTTAACACTACTCTTTACTAGGTTTCACAAGACTCCGCCCACGTGATATGAAAAAACATAGCCTATGTTTTTCCAGACAGTGCTCTATATCTGTAACAAATTTCATCGACATTCCTTTCAGCAGTTAAGGCTACAAACTCTAACAAACATCCATCCATACATCCAAACTTTCGCATTTATTAAGAAGGTTAATAAAAGCTATGTAGGGCAGCCCTGTTCATGTTTACACATACACGAGCAACTGTAAACACGCACGCACACATACGAGTGTAACGAATTAGGGTCGAGACTATTTGGATACTACAGAAAAGTGTACAACCTTTAATATCGTTTTATTATTATTATTTAAATTTTAGATTTTAAATAACACAATGTTTGTACAAATTTACTTATTTTATTGTTTAAAAAATGCTAATAATTGATAGCAAAGGAAAAAAGAAATTGTAATTTTTATTAATATAAAAACAAACTAGATAGAGACAAAATACTTTAAAAAGGTAAATAATGGAATTTAAACGATTATTTTTATTACGTACATAATTACTCTATTTGTAGTTTATTTGCTTTTTAACAAATTATAAAATGTTTAATTCAAATATTAAGTGTTCCTTATACAAGCTAGATTATTTTATTAGTAACTAGCTTTCGTTCGCAACTCCGTCTTTAATTATAAAAAAAACAAAAAAGACTAGCCTTTGTGTTCTTCCAGACTATCCTCTACATCTATACCAAATTTCATTAAAATCCTTGCAGCCGTTTAGGCTAAAAGCTCTAATCCAATCGATCCAAATTTACGAATTTATTATATTATGAGTTATAACACTTTCCACTAGATTCAATATTTTTTTTTACTGTTCATGTATTCAGAAATGCTTAAGTCTCGACGTTGTGAAGTTCAGATATGTCTTTTAAAAATTAACACGTAAACTGAAAAAAAAATTAAATAAACAGCATCTTCTTGATAGAATAAGATATACATTTACTTTAATAGATGTACTAGCTGTTCCCATGCGGCTTCATCCGCATAAAATTATTTTATTGTTTACATTTGTCAAATTGTCAATTGCAAATGTCAAAATGACATGACCTTGGCAATCTTGTTTCCTTGATGTTGGCAGCAACTTATGATCTCTTTCCCACATTA